GCAATGTCTGAAAGTAGGTATATATAAAATAAAGAATGAAATATGTTACTGAGAACTAGCTTACCTGAAGAACTGATGATGGTCGAAACAGGCGCGAAACAGGCGCATTGTAAGCGCTTCTGAGGGACATTTGAACAGAAGTTGTCGGGTAAAAGTCTCTCCTTCATCAGGCCGGGCAGTAAGGCGGAATTCTCGCTTCTTAATACGTAGCGTCAGGATGCTTGGCCAAGAGAAGCGTTGCAATCTGAGTCTGTTACGGTAGATCAGAATGCCTCCATGATACACACCAAGACTAACGTCGTTATCTTGAGAATCCTAAGTGATACGAAGTCATTTATTTGAAAAGAGCAAAAAAGTATACTTTCATTAAAAACTTTATTTTTATCTTTACTAACTAAAAATTATTATATTATTGTTATCATTAATTCAATTATTATTAATATTTAATTGTTAATACTGCTTTAATGGAATGGACAAAGAAAAAAAGAATGGAAGAAATAATAAACATCAACGCTAAAATTAATAAAACAATGAGGTTTTAGCAATGAATTTCAATATTTCTTATTGAGCATAAAGTATTTCAAAAGTAAAGCAAAGGCGGAAAAGAGTTCAAAATAATAGTAAGCTACCTGAAAATGAAATAAGCCTTTTTAAACTGAATTTATCAGCATTCCTACAACAATCGATGTATCTAAATTTAACGAGAGATACCACAACTGTTCATCAGACAATTAGTCGAAGGACGGTTTTAGTAGGCCTCTTAGACAAGTTGTAGTGTAATACTAAGAATGGTGAAGCTCAATGACGATTCCGAAGAATTGTCTGGGAATGTACCAAGTCCACCGCCTGACTCTGAAAATTATTGCATACTATGTTCTCCGGACAAAGTGCGTTCCTCTAAGTCTTCGTAACAGTAAGACCGGTTGAGAAAACCAAATCAAACAATTTTATACGAAGAAGGAAGCCTGCGACCATACTAACCACCAAACGAACGGCTAAACCACCTTGGTCTTCATATCTATGACTGATAAACTGAATTTATCAGGATTATTGCTACAATCCATGCATCTAATTTCAAAGATTAAATTCGTTAAATTCTAATTACAATTACAGACTTAAGAATAAATAAATAAATAAGACAAATTTATGGCTAACAGCATGCATTGGAAAGCATAAATTCCAGTATCGAAAGCCATCATGTTCCTAGGGATTTAAATATTCATGCATGTTGTTATATAAATCACCTTAACTTTATGCAGATCAACACCGTAAAGCGCTAACTTCGATGCATTACTGAGAAAGTTTCTGTCCGCCTCTTCTGGAGATTGACCACTAGATTATACCAAAAAGAGAGGGAAATTTAAACATACGAAAGTTTAAGATATAAAAAGGAACTAAGACATTGTAATTAAAAAAAGAAAGTCAAGAAGGTATGCTTAAACACTATGGAAAAAATAAGTCTTATGAAATACAATAGTGAAGAGGCTTCTCAATATAGAAATATGGAAATATGGATGTGAATTAGGCGAATTTCTCAAAATAGATAGAGCAAATGTTGGATTTATATACGACCTATGAAAATCAAAGAAGGATTAAAATTGTCAGTGAAGAAGTGTAGCCGCACCTGAAACGAAAGTAGTAGATGATAGCAATTCACCAGGTTAGGTAGAAGCAAAAATCAGGCGTTTTCCATTAATATAAAAATTTTGAATCATTAGGCCTAGGAGTTAGGTGTTTTATGAAAAACTGAATACAAAGCGGGGTTTTAGGATTTAATCTCAATTTACTAAATAATTTCGAATTAATATCTTAAATGGTTTAGAAAACGTATCTAACAAGAAATGGAGCAAAAACCCAAGCGTGCCAAATTGCAGCAAGCAGGCATTAACCAGATCGGATAACTATAAAAGGTTGCAAGACAAGCCAAGCCTGTTCTAGTTCATATATGTGGTGATAATGAGAATAATTTTGGCTTTTAGGTTTTAAATGTAATTTTTCCAATGTGATTAAACGTTTGCTTACAGGAGAAAACTTCAAATTATACAAGTGGAATAAAGGAAAAATTCAGATGATAAGCTCTTTTTGCATCATAAATACAAGCAAAATTAAGTAAGGAAAGTAAAAAAAATAGACTGAGGAAAGATTTAACAGGGAGACCTAAGTGAATTTTTTATATAAAATAGATTAATTCCCGAAAATATGTGCAGAGCTATTACTAAATCTATGTTAGCGAAAGTAGGAGGGATGTATAATATGATTTATTTATGCAGAACCACCAAAAAAGTTAACGCCTTCATTTTGTTCTCTGACTCATGACATGGCCGTAGCGAAAACGACAAAAATTCAAATGATCCTGGAAGCCGACACAGGAACTAATGAATTTGAGAAGGCTATTAACAAAGACCTGTAAAATAACTGATGTTAAAGACTACTTGCTGGCATAGACACACCCTTCGGAGCATAATGAATGCTAAAGAATTTAAGCTGTGAAAACTAGAATTAAGCGCATATAAAGCGAAGATCCTTATATGCTGCTACAATTGTAGCAAATATGTTACAGGCAGTGATACTTATTTAATTAAAGTTAATATCCATACACGTTCAACATAATTAAACTTTTTAAATAAGCTGAAAATAAGCCGAGAAGTACAGTCTTAATTCTGCTTGTTCATTCTTCAAAATATTTACAATATACCTACTACCAGAATTGATGATAAAAAAATCATAAATGAAACATATGTGGGCTGATCTCAACCATACCAAAGGTCATGCCGTTTCGATCTTGATATTTTCGAAAATTATAATGTTTTATTGTAATGCGACTTAAATGATACTAACTTTGATAAACTGAGTTATGTGATATTAGGGAAAAAATCAACTATCCTTACCTCCTCCATAACGTACGGGATCAAAATAGCTACGAAGTGTCTAATTGTGAACAACTTTGAACGGGTTTAGTTGAAGCTACTAATAAAAATCAGACTAAAAAAATTAACTAATGTACGAGTCCGAATTTGATAAGGGTAGCGAGACAGAGAGATAAGCAGCCAAAAGCTAGGTTTGATGCGAAGAATTAAAAAATTATGTCCTGAGATCTAAAGATTCACATAGTTTTTAGGCTTTAAGTAATGCTTGGCAGAATACAAATTCAGATTGTAAATGTGTATATCAATACTAGAACTTATTGCAGTAGTCTTTCGAGTATGAGGTGATTTGATCCTATTTGAAATTTATATTGGTTTACAAAAAGGCTTTAATGAAAGTATCACGCAATTATTAAATTATCATTTACATGTATCTAAATATCGGATTGGACCATTCACAAAATTTTGACAACAGTAAGTAAGCAGAACCAGTTCTATAACAAACTGCAAATCTTGAAAAACCTAATTATTAGTATTGTATTCAAATGGCAATTTCTCTACCCTTTGAATTTGTGTTTTTTTATCTCTTATGTCAATATGCATTTTCCTTACATATGGCCAAACGTCATTCCTACTCCGATTTGCGAGTCAGTCTAACCTGGTAAACTCGAGAGGTGTACCTCTTTGAATAGGCTTATTTAGGGGAAGTCATGATCCAAGCAACGATGCAATACTGGAAAAAGAGAAGGTAAAAAGTAGAGTGCATAATGGATAAAATTTCCTAATCTTGGCTGGAAAGACAACTGAGTTAGGAATAAGAGGTCAACTTGTATGGCGTTGAGTAAAGTAAGAGTTTTGACAAACTGCATAATTTAATTGCCCTGATATGGAAATAAAATAGTTAGCTCTCCAATTAATGAAAATCTGAAATAAAAGAACGGTAGGAAAATAACATAAAATGTCGCCTCATAATATCGATCTCTGGCTGAGAAATACTCTGAAAAAATAGCAATAAATAAAATGATAGCATTAATTTTTAAGGCAATTAAAATGCCTCGTAAAATAAAATATCAAAGGCCAAGTTCAAATAATCTCGTGCACATTAAGATATCCTGAGCGAAAGGCTAATATGTCATTGTTTAAAGCTTGCAATAATAGTTAAGTTCAAAGCCACCTCAACGACCTTTTCGGATAGAATTAAGGAAAGAGTTACTTCGAATGTCCTAAAACACGGTTGGATGAACTAATGTGAAATATTCAGTCTGCAAACTTTTAAAACACATGGGTGATTTTGCTAATAATCCATTTTTGGGATATAAACAAAAAGTTAAATCCAAGTGCATATACGTTCGGAAAGTGAGGTAGTGAGATGACAAAGAGAACTTACAATTGAAAAGAACTCTTTTCGGAATTCTGAAAGCTATCAACTTCGTTAATTGTAAATCGTGGGGAATATCGCGGCATCAAAGGAATAGAACTTTTATTAAGAAATAGTGGTGAACAGTAAAGAGAATAGTAGAAAAATAAAGAGCGAAGTGAAAGTCAAGATCCAGAAATGCTAAACAATAGATCAGGGCTAAAATAGAAAAATGTAGAGGCCCCGGAAAAATATACAGGAGAGAATTTTCTCTACTCTGCAATGAAAATCGCAGTGGTAATGAGTGGTCAAAAATCGTAGAAATATAGGTAAAATATTATGCAATTAAACAATAGCCAATTTATAGAAGTGGGTTGAAC